GAGAGGGAGGTAGAGAGAGAGAGATGGAGAGAGAGAGAAAGAGAGACCACCCATAAGTCCTTCCGAATGTGCCCCACCAGGGATTGTGGAATCTGCAACCTTTTGGTGTATAGGACATGCTCCAACCAACTGAGCCACCTGGCCAGGCCCATAAGTCACTTTCTATAAAGAGAGCAGCTAGGACAGGTTGCTATGTCTTCCCCATTCTCCACGTTTTTCTTGGTGATGCAGAAGTTATAAGAGCAGAGTAGAAATAGGTCTCCAGTTCCTCATCCTATCCCCTCATCAATTTGGTGGAACATTGCCATTGCGCTGCTGCCCCCAGGGCCCAAAGCAATAGGGATGGGCCTAACTTCCCGGATTCCTGCCTCCAGAGGGTGGTCACTATGCACTGGCGCAGGAACTATCACAGCAGAATAGTTTTGGAAGAACACTGTTACTGGAAGTAGCTGTGTTAAACAAGTTAAAAGACACATAAGCATCAAAAGAAACAAAACTTTACAGCACGGTGGTTTGATATACATGTACTGCAAAATGATCGCCACAATAAGTTCAACGAACACCCATCTTCTCATACAGATGAAATAAGAAAATAAAGAGGATATAGTGTATTCACACTGTATACTCTACCCGCCCACTAATCACATAATAGCTGTCCAGGCTGCAAGACTGACTGCTGTGACATTGCAGTGCTTGTGTTCAAGCAAGCCTTATTTTACAAAATGTACGCATAGGATCATCCCATGGAATGCAGCATTAACGTTACCCATATGATCACTGAAGGATTACAACTTTGCAGCAGCACATTGATGAGTTGGGAAAAAAACAAAACCCGAAGAAAAAAAAAACACACCACACAGCAAATTAGGCCATGATGCCTTAACGGGTCATGACTGGAGAGGAGGAGGTTGCTCACATAGGTGAGGCCTTGAGCAGAGATGGAGACAGAGACAGGAGAGGCCAGCCAAGCTGCTGTGCAGTGGCTCAGGAGCAGACACAGACAGGTACAAAGGGGCTGGTCTGAGCCATCATGCTGTGGCTCTGGCAGGCCTGCTGGAGCTGACAAGGTCAGGGACAGGGTTGAGGGAGGGGCAGGCTGGGAGAGGAGAGGGCGACCCCACCCAGCAGCCTCACAGGCCTATCACAGGCCCTGAGAGGAAAGGGCCGGCTGCCTGCGCCAGCCCAAGCCTCTGTGGCTGAGCACAGGCCCAGAGTAAAAGGTTGACAGCAAGTCCTTTCAGTATAATTCGGGCATTAGAGGCCCACAGAATGATCATTTCCTTTTCTATGAAACACGTAACTCTGACACACTATTTACAATTAACCAAGTTCCATTTACTTTCACATTTTACAGCCCTGGAAAGTTACATATAATGATCAGCAAAGTGAGAAGATGAAAAGAATTTTTAGGTTTTTTTAAAGATGTAACTAATTTCTGTCTAGAAGACACACCAATTCAAAAAGTGATGGTTTTATTGTCTTGTAGGGTTTTAGCCAGATTGTATCTAATGTAGCAGTTTTACTTCAGGCTTTCATCTTTGGCAATCTCCTTTGAACAGCATTATCATCCTGCCAGTCCCTTCACTGAGTTACAGAGCTTTTGCATCTGCTATTATATATTTGAATAAGAATTATGTATGTAACACAGGCACAATTTTGTTTTGACACAATAGAACAAAGGGTCATTTGATTCTTCCCTGGAACACAGAAAAGCACAAACTTGAGTCATTGGTGTAGCTTAGGCTAATTTTCCAAATACGGTTAATAAAATTCATGTAGGGATCTTCGCAGAGCGAAGAATTCTCTCTTTTAGGCCTACATACTCAGCATTTCCAAGGAGGAGGCCTGTTATTTTGTGTTTTGTTTTGTTTTTTAATACTCACTAGAGGATATTTTTTCATTGCTTTTTAGAGATAGTGGACCTGAAGGAGAGAGAGAGGGAGAGGGAGAGGGAGAGGGAGAGGGAGAGGGAGAGGGAGAGGGAGAGGGAGAGGGAGAGGGAGAGGGAGTCTCACTCCTGGCCAAGGGCAGGCTCTCACCAGCAAACCAACCTCTGTGTCTGAGCTGCAGAGGAAACACCTTTTCTGACAGCTCATTAGCTAAGCTACCTGGATGCTACTTGCAGTATTCTTGGTAACTTGGGCAATAAGAATCCAAGAAGGTGATCTAGGGTTTTTCCACCTCACTCCTGGAGGGAAAAAATGGAAGTCTGCTGCTGGAGGGGCTAAGAAATGTCATATCCTGCCCTGGTGAGTTTGCTCAGTGGATAAAGCCCGGCCTGTGGACTGCAGGGTCTGGGTTTGATTCTGATCAAAGGCATGAACCTAGGTTGAAGGCTCCTTCCTGGCCAGGGCCTGGGTCTGGGCTCATGCAGGAGGCAGCCAATTGCAGTGTCCCTCTCACAGTGCTGTTTCCCTTTGTCTTTCCCTCTTTCTTCCACACTCTCTAAAAATCAATGGAAAAATAGCCTCAGATGAGGAGAAAAGAAGGAAGAAAGAAAGAGAGAGAGAGAGAGAGAGAGAGAGAGAGAGAGAGAGAGAGAGAGAGAGAGAGAGGAGAGAGAAAGGGAGAGAGAAAGAAAGAAAGAAAGAAAGAAAGAAAGAAAGAAAGAAAGAAGAAAGAAAGAAAGAAAGAAAGAAGAAATAAAGATAGAGAAAAAGGAAGAAAGGAAGAAAGGCAATAGCTTATAAAAGACATCTTGAAAATGCCTAAAGAAAGTTGTCATTTTTTTGTGGTGAAGGTACTGGAGTCCGTGTTGGTGAAAACATCTTGGCAGCTGTGGTAGCGGGCAGTGGCAGCAGAAGTGGGGTGACGGGGCTGGTGCATTCCCCTGATCAGCCAGGTTGCCGCTTGCAGAGGGAGGCCTACTGATGGCTTAGGAGTGAGCTTAAGCCATCAGTAGGACACCCCTTGAGGGCTCCTGAACTCTGAGAGAGGACAGGCTGGGCTGAGGAACCTCCTGGTGCACGAATTTTGGGGACCAGACCTCTGGTTTTTAAAATAAGGGACATTTTAAAAAAAATTATTTTGTTTCCCCCTTCATAGGTAGAGTTTTGCTTTGTTGTTTACCATAATTAATCATTAAAATAGAGATGGTTTTGATTAGAAAATGAGCCAACAAAAATACAATCATTAGTTATATAATAATTTAATCTCTGTCATGGTGTTATAGTTCAACATTATCTAATGTTATATCCTTCACAGAGATATTATTTTTGCCAAGGGAAGTCTAACATTTAAGAATAATAAAATGAATGAGGTTTTTTTGTTTGTTTGTTTGTTTTTTTAAGAACCAAGAAGGAGAAATTGAGAAGGTAAGAAATTTAAGATTAATGATTGTTGTGACAGATTAACATAAAGGTGAAAATAATAGCAATTCTTCAGATCATTGGAGACAAATATCATTTAATAAGTATAGTTAATGGGATTATGATTTTAGAAATTTCCCCAATTGTAATAGAAATTCCATAATGAAAGTATAAGGAAAAGAAGTATGTAATGCCAGGGCTTAGTAACCTGTCCAAGAGTAGGATTTAAACATCTGAGATACTCCTAACAAGGCTTCAATGTTCAGAGTTTGTGATTAACATGTAAGTTAACAGCATGGGTGCTGATGTCTTTTGTCCTCTGATATCTTTTCGAATAAGAAAACAACTTCTCAGAGGCACTGTCAATGGGGATAAACCACAGCAAACACTTACCAGCCCCAAGTATCCCATATTCTGGAGGTGTTTGATGACGTAAACTATTTTAAAAATAGCCCATGTGTAAGAATTTCCTGTTCAACAAACTTTATGAGAAATCTACTTTTTCCACTCATGATTCATTCTGAACTTTCACGGGGCAGTCTGTGAAGACCACAGCATTGTTTGTTTACTAGAGAAACCTGGTCTCCCACTAAAGGCTACAGAAGGTATGTGTCTCTATTTTCCTGTTCCTCTATTAGCCCGTCTCATGTAGTGTGAGATTACAAATGGTAGATGTGATGCAAGTGAGGTACAATTAAGATACAACCACATAAAAGAAAACATTGGTGTCTTTATTTAAATAATTGGGGGCAAAAAAATGAGAAGAATAAAATATGAAATATGTTGGAGGCTATCAAACTATTCAAATTCTTGCCTGTTAGAGAATGACTCAAGTGCATACACCCATGCACAATTGATGTGTTAAGCAAAAACAATTTAAAGGAGAATCCAGCAAGAATCATGACAAGGAAGAGTTATTTTGATTTTATAATCAATATAGGTATATTTTATACTTAGCCCAGGCTTTAAAATAGATTCTTTAAATGAGTTTTCTGAATTACAGTGGTAATCTAAATGTACACTTATCTAGAATAAATAAAAATAGTTGGCTTTTAATAAAAATCAGGATGAAGTAGCTCCCATAAAGTGCAAGTTTAAGCTGAATTTTAAAAAATCAATAGATATTTTAAAAAAATTAAACAAACATTGCAAGAAATGGCACCACACTGACAATGAAACTCTTGTTTAATGAATTATGTTGCATATAAATAAAGTATGTTATTAAATAAAATTAATTTACTTCAAAATTACTATATATGCCAACACAACTGATGTCCCATCTTTGAAGCATTCAGTCTTTAATCATTATTTGATTTCAAATTTATCATAAATATTGGAGACTCTTTTTTCTTATATAACATTTCAATTTTAATGCAAGCATTCTAATAATGTTAAAAATATTTTTATGGAATCTGTCTTTCAATTAGTGACAATGCCATTATTTATGCTATTCTTTATTCCTCACTGATTTCTTGCTTTTTATGGCTCAAGCAAATAATATATTGCCAAATGTAGAATATCGTAAAATTTACATCTACTATGAAGCACTTGTTTAAAGATCTAACAAATTTAAAATCAGAACTTTAGTTTTTTCAACAAGGAAATGAGCCCCACTACCCTTTACCCCGCCCAGTTTTACTGTATTGGAGATTGCATTATTGCTTATGTCACATATTTGTAAGGACACTTAAGTTAGAGCACAGACTCAAAGGCCACTCAGCTGCAGAGATGAATAACCAAAGTGCAACCTATGCAGATCTGAATTTGGCCAAGTCCGCCAAGAGACAGCAAAGGAAACCTAAGGGCACTCAAAGCTGCACTCCAGTAACTGAGCAGGAAATAACCTACGCAGATTTAACTCTTGGAAATGCTTCCCGGGATCTTCAAGGGAGGGACAAGAAGGACCTCTCCAAAGGTAATGCATTCAATAGACACACAGTCTAACTGTTCTAGTGTGTGCAGCTGGGGTGCAGCGATGTGGGACAAAGTAGGGCATTAGCTCGCATATTTTTTTCATTTGTGAGAACCAGCGCTTAAAGTTGGAATACAGTATTCTAAGACAAAAGCCGAGAGCTAATTTTATTCAGGTATTGTTGAAGGTGTAGTCTTTGACCAGTACTAACTCATGGAGCATTCTATTTCCTAAACATGCAATAGCATATTCTGAGAGAAAGATTACAGTGGTAGGGATGGGCTTAGTGTCCAAGTTTATGTATTTGATTCTCTGTATGTAAACTGTCTAAACAAATGGTCTCTTTCTCCTTTCTCAGTGTTTCCTTTTCTCTTCCTGCAGTTTCACCATCACCTTTAGAGAAGCTCATTGCTGGGACCCTAGGAGTCATTTGTCTTGTCCTGATGTCCGCTGTGGTGACAATCCCTATTATGCTTTGTAAATACATTTTTGTAAGGTTATACAGAACGTTTCACTTTTATGTCCATCAGTGCCTCTGAATACTTCATAGTGTTATAGAATAGAACTCTTATCTTAAAGTATGCATTTAGATTAAGTGAAAAATGGTAATTTTGAATTTGTCCAAGGTATAAATATCAGAATGATTTTAGAGTAGTTTATAAATATATGTACATATATATGACCACATTTTATAATGTAAGGCATGCTTTAGCACCTTATTGAGAAATACAAATTATTTTTTGAGATTGTTTATCCAAATACTGTGAGTGATGTAGTTCTCTAGACTTTCAAAATGATTTTCCTCAAAATTATCATTACTACATTAATTTTCATTGGTAACTAAACTTTATTCCAGATAGTTCTAATCCTAGACAATACAACAAATTAAATGCAAGAAACAGAAGTATTATGATGTAGTTAGATCAAGATTGATTTTTATAAGAATTACTTTTCCCCCCACAGCTAATGCACCGCTGGAGCAGAATAATTCTTCCTTAAAAATCAGGATCCAGAAAGGTACATAATTATTTTCTCAGTTCTGATATTAGTATAGTTTATACTTTATCTCTAACATAGGGTAGTCAAAAATAATAGCTCTTTTGGAATGGGGACATAAATTATAATACCAGGCAATAAATGTTCATAAATAATGATTATAGAAAAGTATTTTCTTATGCAACAATATGAAGAAATATTCATTTAAGATCATCATACTCATTGTTGCAGATGGGCTCAAAGATAATTTAAGGATTCTAAAAATGTGAATTGACATTCAGGACATGTAGAGAGTAGATACTTTTGTTTGTGTGTTTGCTTAATATGGGACAAGGAAACAAGAGACTAACCCTTCTCTGTGAGTGTGTTTTCTTTTATATTTATTGCACAAATGTGTCTATACCTAGGCAAATATGTAAATTAATTTTCATTTTTTAAATTTTAAATTGTTTTTGATAAAATTTTATAATCTTTCTTTAGCATATCATTGTGGACATTGTCCAAAAGAGTGGTTTACATATTCCAACAATTGCTATTACATTAGTACTGAAAAAAAAACATGGAATGAGAGTTTAAAGGCCTGTGCTTCTAAGAACTCTAGCTTGCTCTACATAGATAATGAAGAAGAAATGGTAAGATTTAAATGTTTCCATTTTATTTTATACAGAACCATGCATCTATAAATGCTTTTTTCTAATGTAAACTTTGCTACTTGATTTTACTATACATCAAGGAAACTGAAGGTATCATGATTGTGCACATTAATTAAAAACTTAAATGACCCATGCTATCTAATAAAAGGGTAATATGCAAATTGACATCACTTCAACACACAAGAAGGCCTCCTCCATGTGGTCAAAGATGGCTGCCCCCATGTGGACACAAGATGGCCACCACAAGATGGGCATCAGGAGAGGGTAGTTGTGGACAATTAGGCCACAGTGTAGGGCAGTTGGAAGAGATCAGGCCTGCAAGGGGAGAGCATTTAGGGTGACCAGGCTAGCAGAGGAGGGAAGTGGGTGACCAGGCCTACAGGGGAGGACAGTTGGGGGTGACCAGGCATGTAGGGGAGGGTAGTTGGGAGTGATCAGGTCTGCAGGTGAAGACAGTTGGGATGCGGGGGTGGGGGGAAAATCAGGCCTGCAGGGGAGGGCAGTTGGCAGGGACAATGCCTGCATGAGAGGGCTGTTGAGGGGGACCAGACCTACATGGGAGGGCAGTTGGTGGTGATCAGGCCAGCCAGGGAGGGCAGTTAGGGACAATCAGGCAAGCAGGCAGAGATGTTAGGGATGATCTGGCTGGCAAGGGGACAAGGTTGGGGCGATTATAAGCTGACAGGGGGCAAGGTAAGGGTGATCACAGCAGTAGGGGGGCAAGATTGGGGCAATCACGCCAGCAGGCAGAGGAGTTAGGGGCGATCAGGCAGGCAGGCAGGTGAGTGGGTAGGAACCAGTTGTCCCAGATTGTGAGAGGAATGTCTGATTGCCAGTTTTGTGCCTAAACGGGCAATAGAACATCCCCTGAGGGGTCCCAGATTGGAGAGGGTGCAGGCTGGGCTGAGGAACCCCCTTTTTGCATGAATTTTTGTGCACTGGGCCTCTAGTATTCTAATAACCATGCATGGTGTCCGATGGGTGTTCAACTCAAAAGGTATACATGGGCCCAATCAACAAGCTGTACACCTGAAACCAAAACAATACTGGATATCAATTGTAACTGAAAAATCTTTTTAAAAATTGCCCAAAAATTATTCTCATTGTTTATTTTTACTGCAAACTGCATCCAAAAATACAAATTAAAACCAGAGGCAAAATAATTATAATATAGTCACTTAAAATATAAAGGTTAAGAGTTTTGTTCCATTCTTCATTGCTAGCCACTTGTAGGTTTCTATAATTCTTTAATGGCTTGGGCATTGCACAGCAACATGCAGGAATCCTTTTCTCTGATATTCTGCTGCCCTTGATAGTTGCTGATTGGCTTGTTGGACATGCATTCTTGCACTTTCAACTTTGCCTTCTATGCTATATATCACATCTCCTTGCTCATGAGTTATCATTCAAAAATCTTTAAATAGGTCCTTTATATCCATAATATCAGCTTCAAATTACCTAACAGAAGACTCTCATGAGCAAGGCAAAGGTCATCCTCCCTAATTTCCTCATCCTGCACCTGCTCCTGAGGTGGACTTTGGCTTTCACAGGATATAAGATTCTTTTCTTCTGAGCTTTCCTCAGGAAAACTACCAAATTCTCCGGAACTGGCTCCCACTGGAGCAGCAAACTCTTTCTATTTCTCATCAGCTTGCCTCTGGACCTTTGGAAAGTTTGTCAATGATGTGAACTCAACATTAACTAAGTGATCTTTCTGTATCTTCCTTTGACACTGTTCACTGGGGGTGGTGGGCAGAGATCCAAACTCTTTTCACTTTTTAATTTATCTTCATTGTTGAAAGTGTTACAGATCTTCCCCTTGTCTTCTCCCCCATTGACTCCGACCACCCTACCCCCACTTCCAGGCCTTCACCAGACCATTGTCTGTGCCCATGGGCTATGCATATATGCATATAAGTTTCTCAGTTAATCTCTCCCTCTCCACCTACCTACCCCAGCCTTCCCTCTGAGATTCATCAGTCTATCCTATGCTTCTATATTTGGGTCTGTTTTGTTCATCATTTAATTTTGTTCATTTGATTCCACATATGAGTGAGATCTTATGATACTTATCTTTCTCACTGGCTTCTTTTGCTTAACATAATACTTTCCATGTCTTCCATGCTGTCTCAAAGAGTAAGAAATCCTTCCTTTGTACTCTGGCATAGTATTCCATGGTGTGAATATACCATGCCTTTTAAATCCACCCATCTATTGATGGGCTCTTGTGCTGTTTCCACATCTTAACTGTTAATTTCACTGCTATGAACATAGGGGTGCATACATTCTTTCTGATAGGTGTTTAGAGTTTCTTAGGATATATTCCCAGAAGTGGGATCACTGGGCCAAATGCCAGGGCAATTTTTAACTTTTTGAGGAATCTCCATACTATTGTATTTTCCATAGTGGTTGCACCAATCTGCATTCCCTCCTGCAGTGTACTGGGTTCCCTTTTCTCCATATCCTCACCAGCAACTTGTCATTTGTTGCTTTGTTGATGGTAGTCATTCTGAAAGGTATGAGGTGATACTTCACTGTCATTTAAATTTGGATCTCTCTGATGATTAGTAGCTTTGAACAATTTTTTATTTGTCCTTGGCCTTTGTATGTCAACTTTGGAGAAGTGCCTTTTTAGGTCCTTTGTCCATTTTTAATTGTTTTTTTTGTCTTCCTTTTGATATTTAAGTTCCTTATATAATTTTTATATTAATGTTTTATCAGATGTATCATTAGCAAATATGTTCACCCATGCAGTGGGCTCCCTTTTCATTTTGTTGATAGTTTCTTTTTGCTGTGCATAAGCCTTTTATTTTTATGTAGTCCCATTTATTTACTTATCATTAGTTACTCTTGCCCTAGAGATGTATCCACAAACATATTGCTATGAGAGATATCCAAGATTTTGCTGCCTGTGGATTCTTCTAAAATTTTATGGTTTAACAACGTACACTTCAGTCTTTCATTTATTTTGAGTTTATTCTTGTACATGGTGTAAACTGGTGGTCTAGTTGCATTTTGTTTTTGCATGTACCTGTCCAATTTTCTCCATATCATTTATTGAAGAGGTTGTCTTTACTCAATTGTATGCTCTTTAATCCATTGTATGCTCTTGCCTCCTTTGTTAAATATTAATTGAGGATAATGGTTTGGGTCAATTTCTAGGTTCTCCATTATGCTCCATTGATGTATATTCCTATTCTTGTGCCAGTATCAGGCTGTTTTGATTACAGTGGCTTTGTAGTATAATTTAATATCTAGTATTGTGATTCCTCCTACTTTGTTATTCTCTCTCAATTTTGCTGTGGCTATTTGGGATCTTTTTTTCTTTCCATATAAATTTTTGAAGCATTTTTCTAGATCTGTGAAATATACTGTTTTATTAGGGATTTCATTGAATCTATAGATTGCTTTGTATAGTATGGACATTTTAATGGTGTTGGTTCTACCAATCCATGAATACAGTATCTTCTTTCACTTGTTATATTTTCCTCTATCTCTCTCTCTCTCTCTGTCTCTCTCTCTCTCTCTCTCTCTCTCTCTCTCTCTCTCTCTCTTTTTAAAAATATTTTAACAATATTTTACAGAGAGGAAGGGAGAGGGATAGAGAATTAGAAACATCGATGAGAGAGAAACTTTGATCAGCTGCCTCCTGCACAACTCCTACTCTGGATGTGCCCACAAACAAGGTGCATGCTCTTGATAGGAATTTATCCTGAGACCCTATGGTCTGCAGGCCGATGTTCTATCCACTGAGCCAAACCGGTTAGGGTCCTCTATCTCTTTTTTTTTAATGTCCTGTAGTTTTCTTAGTATAGGTCTTTTACCTCCTTAGTTTAGTTTATTCCTATGTATCTTTTTTGTTTGTTTGTTTGTTTGTTTGTTCCAATGACAAATGGGATTTTTTTTTTTAAGTTTTCCTTTCTGTCAGTTCATTTTGGTGTATAAAAATGACATAGATTTATGGGTGTTAGTTTTGTATTCTGCTATGTTGCCAAATTTATTAAATCTAGTAGTCTTTTATTTTATTTTATTTTTTAAATATATTTTATTTTATTTTATTTCTTTTTTACAGAGAGGAAGAGAGAGGGATAGATAGTTAGAATCATCAATGAGAGAGTGTCATCGATCAGCTGCCTCTTGCACACCACCTACTGGGAATGTGCCCGCAACCAAGGTACATGCCCTTGACTGGAATCGAACCCGGGACCTTTCAGTCTGCAGACCGACACTCTACCACTGAGCCAAACCGGTTTCGGCATAAATCTAGTAGTCTTTTAGTGTAGCCTTATGGGTTTCTATGTACAGTATCATATAATCTGCAGATAATGACAGCTTTACTTCTTCTTTTCCAATTTGGGTGCCTTTTATTCCTTCCTGTCTGATCACTATAGCTAGGACTTCCAGTACTAAGCTGAATCAGAGTGGTAAAGTTGGTTTTCCTTGGCTTGTTCCTATTCTTAAGCGAAATGGTTTCACTTTTGACCATTTAGTACGATGTTGGCTGTAGGTTTGTCATCTATGGCCTTATAAGACTTTTTGTCAAAGTTGGGTGTTGGATTTTATCACATGCTTTTTCTGCAACAATTAATATTATATATTTTTTGTTTTCCAATTTTTTTCTATACTTTTCTGTTCCTTTGGCAAGTTTGTTAGGATGCTGCTGCTTCTGTTGCAGCTGTTACCTCAATTCACATGAATCTTGAGGTGTTTCAAGTGGATTCAAAGACCTCTATGTTTCCATGGAAGATTGTGGGATTTTTTGGATGTTGGATATCCTGGGCCAGCTGGTCACAACATTTCCTGCAATGTGAGACATGGCTGGTTCACTTATTCACTCATTGCTTCAGGTGTTGTGGGCTGTGCCCTTAACTAAGTAGTCACCCAGCCTCCTTGTTTCCATCCTCCTCCGGACAGGGACCAACTTAGTTGTTTGTATGAAATCAATTACCTAATTTCTCATAAACATTTTTATCTCTCATAGAATTTTTTGAACGTTTTTGTTAAATTTGATGGATTCAACCCTACCACAGAGACAACAATAATCTGTTGGTGTGGCAAAATGGCTTAGCTTTCTCTTCCAAACTGTAAGTTTCTTGAGAATGTATATATTTTATGTCTTCGTGCTTTAAGTCAGAAATTAATCTTAGAAGTGAACATCAATGCATGAACGATTACATAAATACAGTAAAACTTTGGTAGAGCATACTAACTCAGGCAAGGAGCTACCCACTAGAGCCAAAAGCCATTATGTTAGAAAGTAGGTTTTACAAATATATATGTTCAAAAATTGACCAATTAGTTCACCTGTTTGTACTTATGATGACACATTTGTGTAATTAAAATGAAGTACATATGAAAAGTTTCATTTCCCAGGCAAGCTTTCTGTATGTACTACTATAATTTAAATTTTATACTGAAAAGATTTAGTAAATGCATGCATTCACCAGTCATGGCCTGTGAACAAATGTGCTTGGCTGGGGTGTTGCTTCAGCCCTCAGGCTGTAAAACAGATGCAGAGTCTGGCCTCAGGGCAACAGCACCAGTTACCACAGTTGAGGTGGTGTGATCATGTGCTAACCATTAGCAGTACATTGTTTATGAGCTTTGACTCTTGAATTTAAATATGTAGACTCTAGTAGTAAATATGTAATATTTATTCATGTCGGTAAAATTACTACATTGTTTTTTCAAAACATATGGCCTAGTTGCTAAATTTAAAAAAAATAATGGTGAATTAAGAACAAAATATTTTGTAAACTTAATTATAAGCAAACCTTTTTTAAAAATATTTTTTATTGATTTTTTGAAGAGAGGGAAGGGAGAGGGATAGAGAGTTTGAAACATCAATGAGAGCTGAAACCGGTTTTGCTCAGTGGATAGAGCGTCGACCTGCTCTATCCACTGATCTGCTTTGTTGCAGCTGTTGCCTCAATTCATGTGAATCTAGAGGTGTTTCAAGTGGATTCAAATTTTTAAAAAAATGGTGAATTAAGAACAAAAAAATATCTTGTAAATTTAATTGTAAGTAAACCTGTTTTAAAAATATATTTATATTGATTTTTTTATAGAGAAGGAAGGAAGAGGGATAGAGAGTTTGAAACATCGATGAGAGCTGAAACCGGTTTGGCTCAGTGGATAAGTGTTGACCTGCTCTATCCACTGAGTTTGATTCCAGTCAAGGGCATGTGCATTGGTTATGGCCGCATCCCCGGTGGGGGTTGTGCAGGAGGCAGCAGGTTTATGATTCTCTCTCATCCATGTTTCTAGCTCTCTATCCCTATCCCTTCCTTATTGTAAAAAAAAGAAAAAAGAAAAGAATCATCAATGAGAGAGAAACATTGATCAGCTGCCTCCCATATAACCCTTACTGGGGATGTACCTGCAACCAAGGTACATGCCCTTGACTGGCATCGAACTTGGGACCCTTCAGTCTGTAGGTCGACGCTCTATCCACTGTACCAAACTGGTCAGGGTTAAACATTTTAAAATTAGCAAGGTGTTAATTTCACATATTATATACAAACTTGAAATTTTGTCCATTAAATCCTGAGTCCATTAAAGCCAGTGTTTACCATAAACTAAATATTTCTGTTGAAAAATTGTAAGAGGTGTTCAGATTTAGATATGTAAATATTACTGTAAAGAGTTTATTTATTAAAATATGAAGTTATATATGATCAGACTAATGATATATTATTTCTGTATTTCAGATCCGCAATAACGTCAGGATTTCCTAAGAATTGTGCATTTGTGAAGCTTGACAAACACAACATCTCTTCTGAATCCTGTTTAGAAAATAAAAGCTATGTTTGTAAGCTCCAGCCACATTAGCTTCGCTAAATCTAGTACAATGGTACCTGCACCATCTAAAAATAATACATTTCTAGTTCTTTTTAAAAGCACTGCAATTATTTTTGTAAAACTATTTTTTAAGATATTATTTTGAGACCAGCTTTAGGCTCACAACAAAATTAAGAGGAAGGTATTGGGATTTCCCTTATTCCTCTGTCCCTACTCAAGCAGAGCCTTCCTTTCATAAACATCAGTCACCACGGTGGTACATTTCTTACTGAAAATGATTCTACTTTGACTCTTCATAACACTTAAAGTCCATAGTTTGGCCTGGCTGCTGTGGATCAGTAATTAACCATCATCCCATGCACTAAGAAGTCAATGGTTCAGTTCCTAATCAGGGAATATGCCAGGTTGCAGGCTCAATCCCTATTAGGAGGTGTATAGGAGGCAGCCTGTCAATTTCCTCTCCCATCGATCTTTCTATCTCTCTATTCCTCTCTCTAAAATCATTATAAACTTCTATTTCAAAGTCTACAGTTTATCTGATGTTTCACTCTTGGTATTACGAATTTATTTTTAAAATCTATATATTAATTTAAAAATATATATATATATATATCCAGTTACATATTGTACACTTTTAAACTTCTGATATTCACTAAAATAAATCATGTACATATTATGAATCATAATATCAAGAACTGTTATTTCTGCCCTTCCTGGTTTGGAGTGTCAGCATTTGGACTGAAGGATCCTGGGTTTGATTCTGGTCAACAGCACATGTCCCAGGTTGTGGGCTTGATCCCCAGTGGGGGGTGTGCAGGAGACAGCCAATCAATGATTCTCTCTCATCATTGATGTTCCTATCTCTCTCTCCCTCTCCCTTCATCTCTGAAATGAATTAAAAAAACAAAACAAAAAACTGTTATTTCTAAGTCTCCAATCACATGAATAATTGAGCAAATATTTTCAAATTAATGTGCTTGACCTAGCTTTTAAATGTTCCAAATGGGGGCTGAACATCCCAGGGTTACAAGGTGTATGCATGTGTTGAGTCAGGAGCGAAAAAACTCAGGAAAGTTTGATTCAAGGTTATTATTACCTACTTGTTGGCGAGAGCCTGAGGAGAGGGGAATAAAAGGAAATTACAACATGTACCCTAGGTCTAAGGAAGGTTACCAAAAGGAAAATCACACGGGTGCCAGGTTTTAGACTTCATTGAAGACAGTGTCCCTGCAGAAAGCTTTATGGCAGGAATGCTCACTGGGCTGTGCTAGGACGGAGCAGTTCCAAGTCTGCTGGCCCACACTGGTGAAGATGGACCTCAAGTCATGGCTAACAAGCAGGAAGGCCTCCCTGCCATAGGTCAGCAGGCAGAGGCTGGAGGAGAGGGAACTGTGACCAGCCACAAACACTTGCTGGAGGGCGAGCACCTCAGGAGCTTCCTGCATGCTCTCAGCTGTTAACCACATCTCTAGCAAAAATGAGAACACACCGTGAAACCAGGAAGAAGGACCCTTTCTCTGGCACGCCTCTCTGGTGCCTTTTACCCGGAAAACATCAGGTGAGCTGACAGGGAAGAAAAGGTGTAGAAGACCTAGCACCATTCACTCACCAAGGGCAGATAAGATAGATTTGGAGCCCAGAGTAATACATTCTTAATCGACACTCAAGGTTATTTATTTGCCCCAACCCCAAGATTTCTATAGAAAAGCCATTTAAATATTTCCCACTCATTCAGAATATGGACCCAACACATATATCTTCTAAATCTATTTTGGTGCAGCAATATCAATCATTAGATTCATCTTTTTTTGGGTGCAGACTGGTGGTTTCACTGGATAATAATCAGAGTCCTTTGCTATATTTTACATGTCTGTTGTTTTGTTTTTTTCTACTGGATTTTAGATATTTTGGAAGGTACCTTGTTTTATTAAATTCTCTGTCTCTCCTTTTGACACTCTTAATTACTATGCATTAGAAGCATGTTTGATGGATGCAATCAAGTGTTATCAAGTGTTAAGTAATGAAGAAAACAAAAATTAAAAGGATACAATATCTGTGTGAATCAAAGAGTTAGTTATTGACAGAATGTGGGATGAACCATAGTAATTTGACACAATTATTTGGAGATATTTTTGCTATAATTCCATTACAGGTGGGAGAGATCCTGCACTCACTTAATAATTGCAAAATGAATTAATAGTTATATGCATTTATTTCTTTGGACATAGATGTTGTCTTTATGTTCTGTACATTTATTCCTTAGGTTCACATAGAGAAATGTGTCAATATTCAAAGTTAATTTGTATCTAATTGCTGAAGTTGCTTTGACATTTAAACACCAGCTTTCATTTATTCATTTATTTCTCAGTTCCTATTCTGGTTTGGTTGGCTTTCAGTTGATGTAGACTGGATATGTATGGGCTCAGCTCAAGACCACAGATAAAGCTCATATCTTTGTTTTTAATATTTTCTTCTCTGAACAGTGGACTACCTGGTACATAACTTCATAGCAGTGATGAGCAACTCTCAGCATGGCTAGCAGAAATGTGCTTCTTGATGCCTGAACTCAGAATTCATAAACTGTTACTTCCCAGATCACACTATACTATCAAAACAAGTCTCATGGCCAACGTTTTTCATTGTCTACAAAGTATACTCTTCTCATAGTGGTCTGAGGGACAAAATGTAGATTCCCCCAAAACCAATGCTATCTAATAAAAGAGACACATGCAAATTGACTGTACCTCCACTACACTATCATCCAATCAGAGTGGGCATGTAAATTAACTCAACAAAGATGGTAGTTAAATTTGCATATGCAGGTGTGGAGCGGCCTAGGTCCCAGGAGCATCTTCAAGACCCAGGCCACTCCTAGCCTATAGGCCCATGCTTATGCCCCTGGCCACTCTGGGACTATGAGTGCAAAGCTACCACATACTGAGCAATTGTCCTTCACCAACCAATGTGCTAAGCACTCTGTGATGTTAAACCATATAAAATCCTGGACTATGAGTGTAGGCACCAAGTGGCTGGGGGTGGGGCGGAGGATGTTCCCACCTTGTCCCCAGCCTCTTGCAGATGCTCTGGGGTGAAGCTGCAGTTTGAATTTAAGCCCCCAGCCCAGCGCCCATGACAAGGCTCTGGCTGCTGGCCTCTGAGCCGTGTGGAGACCACTGAGGTCGCTGTTGACTAATGAGTTTGCTGACCACTGGTTTAAGGCTTTGAGGATAGTGGTTAGACATTTATGTAATTTATGAAGTAACCCCTAAATCAGTCTATTACCCACTTGGCACCATATATAGTTACTAGAGGCCCAGTGTATGGAAATTCGTGCACTCGGAGAGGTCCCTCAGCCAGGCCTGCACTCTCTCACAATCTGGGTAGATTCCTTAGGCCGGATCTGAGATCAGGGACCCTTGGGGCTTTCCTTCTCCCAGCTGCAGGCAGCTGGCCCTGCCCCCACTGCTGCCACTACATGACATCTGTGCAGCCCTGCTCCCTCCCTCCCGTAACACTGGTCGCCTCCCTCTGCAGTTGGATTGATTGGCCTGGGCCTCCCTCCTCCTCCTCCCAGCCCATGGTCACTTCTTCTCTAGCTGCTCAAGCAGTGGGTTGCCTTCTGAGTTGAGGTCTTAATGCTGTAGGTCCTGAAGATGCAGGTGGGGCAATTGAGCATCGGGATGAACTGCTGCCACTCCTGCTTTAGCTCCTCCATCTGGGTTTTCAGCTCCACAGTCATGAGCTCCAGCCACTCAGATTCCCACTACAGAACCTCCTTCTTCTTGTTCCAGCATCAGGCTGCCACCCCTTTGTCCCTTCCCCAGCACCTTCTCCTCCACTCCTCTCCCTCATGTAGCTCACTTTTCACAGGTTGAGGCCTCTTGCCCAGGTTCACCTTCAGGAAGCGCAAAGGGGAGATCATGCCCCCGTGTTGTGGATGTCAGGGTATTTCAGCTCCTCTGCAGTCAGGGATGAGCTGGGTAGTCCAGTCAGGGAGCTGAGCCTTGCCGAAGAGCCTGAAGTCATGGAAGGATCTGGGATCTGCCCAGCATCATAGCAGGAGGAGTGGCAGTCCAGCCCTGCAGATGCCATGGGGAGAGGCTGTGATCTTGGGGCCTGGGCCAGATTGCAGGTGCCCTGCCCGCTCAGGAGCCACTGTGGCACCAGCCCTGCCCTGCATCATTCAAGCCGCCAACACCTCCTGTTGCAGCCACCCAGCATCCCTCCCAGGAGCTGTGACCTGGGTCTCCCTCTTTGAGGCATTGATCCTGGGGCTCTGCCTACCTGCCTCATTGCCCCCAATTGCTCGCCTGCCTACTTGATCACCCCTTAGTGCCTGCTGGGGGGCGGGGCCAGCCCTGTGGGGGGCAGAGGTGGTTCTGGTCTCTCATTGTTTTTTTGTTGTTATGCCTTTCTGTTCACTGGGCTTTCATTATATATAACTTCAATATTATGGACTATATTCCCCAGGCTTTACATCCCCATGACAATGTTGTAACTATCGATTTATAGAATATGCCAAAACCATTTTGCTCAGTGGATAGAGCTTCGGCCTGGGGACTGAAGTGTCGCAGGTTCGATTCTGGTCAAGGGCATGTAACTTGGTTGTGGGCACATCTCCAGTAGGGGATGTGCAAGATGCAACTGATCAATGATTTTTTTCTCCTCAATGTTTCTGACTCTCTATCTCTCTCCCTTCCTCTCTGTAAAAAAATTCAATAAAAATATATTTTTAAAAATTTATAGAATTTTCTTTTAGAATTTTTCAAATTTTCAGCAAGGGTGCCTCTCAATGGGAATTTTTATAATCTGTGGTTTATTTTGTTACCGTTTTTACCTTTGGTTGAGAATACTTAAGTTCTACCTCTTAGTAAATTTCAACTCTTAAATACAGTGTTATTGACTTTAGTCCTCCTGTAAGAGTTTAGATCCTTAGGCCTTATTCATCTTATAACTGGAAGTTTGTACCTTTTTACCAACCTAATTTTCTCCACGCTCCCCCACTTTTTAATGAATTTCATATATTTTTTTAATTCTACATATAAATTATACCATACAGTATTTTTACTTTCTCTGTTTAGCTTGTTTCACTTAGCAAACTGCCTTCAGGTTCATTCCTATGACAAATCGCAGAAATCTCTTTTTCTCCTGGGTGAATAATAACCCTCTGTGTGTGTGGTACTTTCTTTATCCTTTCATCCATTGAAGACACCTCGGTTGCTTTCAAACATTAACCATGGTGAATGTGCGCCAGTGAACATGGAAGCGCAGATATCTCTGCCAAAAATTGTGTTGATCTGACTGGATATCCCAATTGGTTAGAACCGTGGCCGGCAAACTGTGGCTCACAAGCCACATGCGGCTCTTTGGCCCCTTGAGTGTGGCTTTTCCACAAAATACCACAGCCTGCGCGAGTCTATTTTGAAGAAGTGGCGTTAGAAGAAGTT